TTATCTTTACCCCTGCTCTCCCTCTCTCCTTCCTTCCCACCTTAATGTTTTTCTTCACTTCCTCCCTCAGACCTGCTTTGCTCCGTCTCCCATTTCTTCCTTCTTCCCATTCTCCTTTTAAGCTCTACTGACTCCGCTTTAAAACTTTTCTTCCCTCCCTCTTTCTCTCTCATCCTACTTTTCCCTTATGTTCTTCTCTACTTATTTCCACTGTTTTAATATCTATCTATCTATATACCTAATTATTCACTATCATTTATCTTTTTTCTTTTCTGACTCCTACTTTTAAAATCTGTCCCCAGTACACAACTATACTTGATTTTCATTATACCTTCTACAGTTCACTCATACATCCTCTTTCCTTCTTTAACTCTGCTCTCTCCTGACTCCTTTATAAAATTCTTCCCTCCCTTCTTCCTTTCTTAAAGTTTCAGTTTGGGGGGGAGGGTGTTAGCCCCCAGCCCAGGGTTCAGCCCCAGCCAGGTGTTTGCTGCCCCCACTTCCCAGCCTCCCCAACGCCATCTTGCTCCCATTCCCTGCCTGGGATGCCTGGCCCAGTGAGGGTGGCCAAGGCCCTCATGACCTGGGCGCTGATGCTGCCGGGAAGCAGGAGTGCCTCTGCCCAGAAGGCCTCAGACCATCCACCACTCCATCCTGGACCTGTGGGTGCCTCTGCACTGGGGGCCACAGCCCCCACACCCCCACGGTCACCACCTCCTCCTGCATGCAGCCCCACGTTTCCTTTCCTTTTCCATTCCTGCATCTTTTTTTTGTTCCCTTTCTGTATTTCTGTTTCTCCTCTTGCCTGTCTGCATGCAGACCTGCCTTACTCTCCCTCTCCTTTCTTATCCCCTCCTGTTGTATTCTATCCTACCCCAGGCCTTGCAGCTGCCTGAGCAGAGGGCAGGGATGCAGCCTGCGGATCCAATCATGATGTGATGCTGTAATGGATAATTTGCATATTTCTCTATTATTAGTATAGATAGTAATAGTAGAAGTGGTATCCTGACTTTTGCTTTCTTTTCCTACTACTTTTTATTTCTTGGAGGTGGATCCTATTCTCCATCCTTACCTTTGTATTAAATCCTTAACTAATACTAGTATAGCTGTGTTTTTATTTACTCCCATTATTTCACCATTTTGTCTATGTAGAATTCTGTATACTTGATACTTTTCCCATTCAACTCTTTGTATGTTTTTATCTTCTTATGATTTCACAATGCCTTTTATATGCCATTTCATTGTGAAGTAATTGTATTAATCAGAATTGTTTTCAAAAGATGAACATTTTAGATTAGTTATCCTGATCACTTCTCAGGCAGAAATCATCTCGTAAATGAATATTCAACTTTCAAAAGAAGTATTTTGCTTTCATTCTGATGGTGTGTATTTCTGTACACTTTTATTAACAGATATTTAAAATATATTTTTCTATAATGATTTTATTAACTTTAGCTTTATAAGCATTTTCCTAAAATTTTCATACTTTGAATGTTCTTTATCATCTATTATTTAAAAATTTTATCACTTTTATAACAAACCTTTCTAATGTACTTGAGTAAACTGTTTTATTTAAACTTCCAAATAACTTTGGACAATAGGTAGGGCAAATATTCTATTTTATATATGAAAAAGACTGGGAGAATTTAAGTGCTGTCCAAGGTTATACAATAAATAACATAACTGGGGCCATGTTTTCTAACTCCATGTCCAGGGGTTTTTTAGGTAGGCTAGTAAAAAACCTGAGGTGGTGGAAAGTACAAAATGTTAGTACTTATATTTTACAAAAATATTTCAGTTTATTTTTGTCTTATATTTTACAGGATCATATGTTCCAGCAGAATATTCTTCCTTTAGAATTGCTGAACAGATTTTTACAAGAATCAGTACTGATGATGATATAGAAACAAATTCATCAACTTTTATGAAGGAAATGAAAGAGGTACCCAAACTAAACTTTCCTTATGTTAAAAAAATTGAATTCTGCTGCTAATAGTCAATGATCATGTAAGAAAGTATTCTTAAACTAAAACATGCAGATGTGCTTATACTACCCTGCAAGAGCCAGAGGGCAGTCAAAGACAGCTTCCTAATTTCTGTCTTATGTGGAAATGGAAATTAATGTTTAATGATAAAATACAGTTTTAAAGAAAAAGCTAGTGTTATTGAATGATAAAAACGTGCATTCATGTTTTGGTGTGGGAGATATGAATTACTTGTTCAGGAACAATTTGCATAGTATCTATTATTCCTCTTAGGTTTAGTTTTAAAATAAAAGATCACTGTGTTTAAAAATTATCCTATATTCTGTGCTCTTATAGAATTTTCACTTCCTGTAAAAAAGTATGTATCATCACCTATTTCATTTTATTTTTTTTATTTTAGCCAACTTATATTTATATCAAAGTGCTATCGTTGAATAGCATAAATCATCAAATATTGCTAAAAGTAATTTTTACAAAACAGCAGCCCCTTCTGTTCACCTTCCTACCCCATTACCCACTAAGCAACCAACTTTAATTTTATTAGCTATTTTCTCAGATTTTACTTTTATAAAAAATTAAATTAAATCTTTATTGTTCAGATTATTACAGTTGTTCCTCTTTTTTCCCCCATAGCTCCCCTCCACCTGGTTCCTACCCCACCCTCCGCCCTCACTCTCCACCCACTGTCCTCATCCATAGGTGCACGACTTTTGTCCATTCTCTTCCTGCATCCCCCACACCCCTTCCCCCCCAAGAATAGTCAGTCCACTCCCTTTCAATGCCCCTGATTCTATTATAATCACCAGTTTATTCTGTTCATCAGATTATTTATTCACTTGATTTTCAGATTCGCTTGTTGATAGATGTGTATTTGCTGTTCATAATTTGTATCTTTACCTTTTTCTTCTTCTTCCTCTTCTTAAAGAATACCTTTTAGCATTTCATATAATACTGATTTGGTGGTGATGAACTCCTTTAGCTTTTTCTTATCTGTGAAGCTCTTTTCCTGGCCTTCACTTTGCTG